TTGGCGCCTGTTTTTACCTTTTTTTAAAAAGGTAAGTTTTTAGAGTATCACACACTTTATATTTTGTTTTATATTGAACGCTATTGCTACGTAACCTTCTTTTATAGACAAAACTCTCCATGGTAACGAGGGTGCAAAAAACATATTCCAGACTGACTGAAATAGATCTAAATGTATTCTTGTTATTTGTCGCGTACGTAACCTTCTTTTAGATTTTATGCAAAAAATATCCAAATGCTTAAATTTCAACAAGTCACTTCGGAGGATCGTAAGTTAGCCGTGTCTATAGAACGTAAACGACTACTTGAAGAAGCGAGAAAATCACGCATCTTTAATCCTCGTGTCAGAAAAATTGGAGTAAGAATTACTATTCAAAATGTTCAAACACGTTTATTTCAATACTTAAATGCATTGTTTATTTATATTTGTATCAAAATTTTCTCGAAACTATTTAAGAACTTGTACTATTACTTCCATCTAATTCATATCTTTGTTGTATTCTATTATTGATCAAATTGATATTTTGCTTGAATATGTGCTTCGTAATATTTTTGTACTTATTTCAATGAAGCGCATTCTTTAATCTGAAACGTTTTGAACGTTTGGAAGTTGTTTGCTCTGTTACCTTCGCAGTTTTGTTTTCCTGACATTTACAGATAGACAAGACATACTTGGATAAGCAAGTCGAGGAAAAGAAGCGACAGCATGAGTGGGAACAGGCACGAGAATGTCAATTTGATGACGCTCTCGTTCGCAGCAGCAAGCTTGCTGCGCATTTGGAGAAACAACAAGAAGAGGTAATTGAGTGCCATTAATGTTGATATAATTATTTAGAAATATTTACTTGATTCAGCCGGTACTTGAGATTTCGAATCATGTATTGCATTACGATAAAAAGAATATATCAGTCTAACAAAAAAAAGTGACGTTTTCCTTTGCAGGAAAGACGAAAGATACACAAAGAGATTGAGTCCTTTCGACGGGAGTGTCAGCGAATCGAAGACCGTCGAGATTATGATCTTTATGACCCCAAGGCGCTTAAAAAATCCCGGTCAACGGAGGCCGACGATCCGTGCGTGGGAGTAGCGTCCGCTCAGAAGTGCGTAAATAGTTTGCAATTTATGTGTAATCACAAGAGAAAAGTCCAAGAGAAAATTATTTCAAATTTCCAAAAAGATAAAAGAATATGTATTGAAAAGAAGCATGATGTGTTTATGAAATGCGTTTAGCTTTTTCTTTTTTACTTGACAACTTTACTTATCAAATACTTAAAGTTTAAAACTAATTAAAAACTATTTTAAAGTTAAGGATCAGTTTTTACACTCACTTTATATTAAAATTATGTCATATTAAATTATGACTTGAGAAACAATATGAAGTTTTTATTTCGCAATTTGTATTGAAATAAACTAATTTCTTTATATATGTTACGAATTAGCAAAACCCTTTGTCAAATATATATTTTTTTGATTTGCTTAATATTATATAATAATTATATTACATAATATTAAGCAAATCTCTTGGACTTTTATAAATAATATTATATAATAATTATATTTACTAATATATAAATTATAATTACTAACCAGATCAAAAAAAAATTTATTACTACAATAACACAGCCACACAAAAAAAAAAATTTCTTTGGCCTGAGAATCAGACCATGTTTATTATATGTTTTTGGAGTCGCTGAATCCGAATCCGAGGTCCATTAAACCCCATCGGGTCGGGGTTACGCCATAACCTCAAAAAACACCATAATCTGAGCTTGGAACCCATATAATCTTTTAAT